TAGCAAGGTGGCTTGTTTCAAGTAGTAAGAAAGTTCACACACAAAATCATCAGACTTGTCCCAGGTAAGTTCACACTTGTTGGAATTTTTTGTTGTTTGGTTTCTTTTTAAGTAACAAGAAATATTTTGCCCCTCACCAGAAGAAATTCAAACTTCTTAACCAAAACAATACCAACTTTGTCGGACGCAGAAATTTTCAAAAGTTATTATGTATTAGAATGTACAAATTATTCACTAAGTTGAGAGTTTACTATCTTTCTGGAACAATCCTGTGTATAATAGGAAACTTGACATAAAAACACACAAAAATTATTAAAGTATCTTCAGTTTTACTGTTCACAGATTTCCTTGTGATTTGCACTTAAGAGTCGCCTAAAACTCTTCCCCTTCTTCCTAGTCCATCATACACTGTGCTAGTTGCAAGCTTCATGACCAGCACATGATCACAGCCTAAACCTCACCTTTTATTTGCATTTAAAAGTTGACTTTTAAATGTTTAACATTCATCATATTTCTAGTTTTAAAAATTTAAACTTTGTAGTGCAGGAGGGACTTTTCGAACTTGAAACTGTTCTAGTAAGAGAACTTAATTCCACCGCTACAAATTGGCTGTCACACTGCATGGATGTAAGGATGTTCTAATCAGGCTTTTCCAAACACGTGAACACTCAGCACATGCTGTAAGACTGTAATTTAACTTTAAAGTCTGATTTTTATTTTTTTTTTTAGTTAAAAACACAGCTTGAAAGAGTACTTTCACTTCAGATAACAAATACAAAGTAGGATCTGCAGTTATACTATTCTGACACCTCTAAACACTAACAGAATCATGAAGTACTCCTTATCAAAAACTGAAGTGAAAAACCACTGCCCCAACTACAGACAGCCTAGTCAAGGTTTTATACAACACGTATATGCATGTGTGCCTTGAACTTTATAGACGGTAGCTTTATTTTAACATTTTAATTTAAGGTTTCCACTTTGGACACTTCAAACACATTATTTCCTCAGAAGAGCAATACTACTCTGTTGGATGCTGATGTCGCTTTAATACTTCTTAAGCTTTATTATGTAACACGTACACAAGATCATTCCCATTCTTAGCTGAAGCCATGTGAATGTAACAAGCAGATGAAGCACCTGTAAGAAAGCATATCCAGTCCTCCTAGCTATGATCCCCTTGCTAACCATGAAGCTTTAGCACTAAGTTCAAATATAAACTAGTTTTAGTAAACAAAATATAGGAGCATACTATCTAGGTAAGAATAACTGAAATGAGTGCTTACCTTGACTCTCCACTACTGTTTCTTACGCTTTCTTCATCACTGTGCCCATTCATTGTAAATAGTAGGAAGTTTAAAGGATAGATAAAAGTCCACTCAGGTTACAAGGTGGATATTAGGAATCCACTTCTTGGTACTCTGTATGTCTTCCAGACTCTGTACTTGTTTACTTTAGTGTTCTCAGTGGGTATTCAAGGTTTCTCCAAAAATACCTAAGATAGTAAAAGAAAACATTAACACAATTTTGAAGAATGTTTGCAATTAAAGGGATACCAAAAATAAGTTGGTTTTTTTCCACTAACAGTGAAAAGGGGCCTGTTTGACATCATGTCTGTAATTCAAAACCAGCTTTTTGTATGCTACCTGTTCATTGCTGATTCATTTTATCACCTTTTTCTTGTCTGAGAAAAAAAAAATTGTTTTTCCTTCTGTGAAAACAAATGAAAACCAGGTTTTTTTATTAGTTACACTTACAAAAAATGGAAGAGCTAAATAAAATACACAAAATGCATAGAAGACCTGTCTAGCTTTTTGTCTGACTGCATCTGGGTCCCAACATACACTTCTTCATGCAATTATGCTTCTTTATGAAACTTTTCATGGATGGTGCTATGAAGATGGTGATTTCTGCCAAACCACTAGCTGTGAAATACGAAATGTTATGGAAATTACATTTCTTTAGTTCTTGCAGGGTGATAAGAACAGTTTACTGCATATTTGTACTATACCTCATGGCTTAACTTTCGCCATAGTATTGACTTCAAAACAAAGCAAATCTAAATTTTAAAGAAAAAAATGTCTACTTGCACATGCAGGTAAAAGCCCATAAATATTAACGGTTTGCTAAGATCTGCTTAGTAAAATGTTTTTCATACACAAAACTCAGTGGATGCATTTCCAGCTACAGACATAATGCTTACATACAGCTGTGGGTAGCAGAAGAAAAATAAAGACTGTCCCGTTTAACGCAGGAGTCCCCACTAAATCACACCAGCAAGATCTCACAGATGGAATGATCATTACTCCACATGCATGCGTATCTTAAGTCAAATCGCTCCAGTCAGTATCCGGTGCATTCAGAGAAAGTTTGGGCTCACGGTAAATGGGCCGCAAGTATAAAGTCACTGATAATCAGATAAAGAGCTGCGCCCTCGGAATCAGCGGTGTGAAGGCGATTAGGGTCTGCCTGCCCCGGGGTGCTCCCCTCGAACACGCCACAGTCCCAACCTCGACGGCAGAGGGGGAACCCTCGCTGCGGGGCGGGCGCTGCCCCGCGCTCACCTCGCCCGGCCGGGCCGCTCCGGCCTGCGAACAATGGCGATGAGCTCGAGCAGAGCGACAGGAGAGCGCTCCGAGCCCGGCGGGGCCGCGCAGCGTGCTCGGGGATCCCGTGGAGGCGACGGCGGCGCCCCGGCCGCTCCCGCGCGGGCAGCGCCGCGTACGCAGCGCCCCGGGAAACACCGCGGGCGGCCACAAAACTTTCTCCCCGTTGCTCGCTCCCCGCTGATCTCTATCCCCGGCCGCCCGTCCGTAGGGAGCCCGGACAGGGCTTTCCGCCCGCCCGCCCCGCTCTCGGCGCGGCCTGCGCGGCCGCCGCTATCTGGCAGCGCCTCCAAGGCCGCCGCCCTCCACGATCGCCTCCCCCGGCGCCCCCCACGGCCGGAGCGGAGCCGCGGACGCTCTCCGGCCGCCCGCGCGGCTCCGCACTGGCTCCCCCCGCAGGAGCCCGCGGGAGCGGCTCGACCCCACTGCCCGCCTCAGCCCCCGCGGATCCCTCCCTTCCTCCACGGAGATGAGCGAGGGGGCCCAAAGACCCGGCTCGGCACCGGGCATCCCCCCCCCCCCCCCCCCCCACTGCCGGCAGCGCGCCTCGGGCCGCATCTCCTCCGCACCACCCGCCCCCCACCCGCTCCCATCCCCGGCAGCTGCACGGCTCCCGGCCGCGGAGGAGCCATGGCGGCCTCTGCCTACCTGCGGTGCGCGGGGCCCAGCCGGCCCAACCCTCCCCGGGGCGCCCCCGGCCCGAGGCCGCTCTGCGCCCCGCGGGGAGCTCGTACGCAGCCCCGTGTCGCGGGCGGCTCCCGCGGCCGCGGCGGGGCCTGGGCGGCCGCCGCTCCTCTCGCCGGCTCCGCGCTGCCTGCGCCGCGGGCTCACTCGCTCTGCCGCTCGAACAATGGGGCCCGGACCGCGCTGGGAGGGGCGCAGGGAGAACCGGGGTGGGCACCACTCTGCTCCGCCGCCGCCTCCTCTAAGTGCTGCCGACCGCCGCCATCACGCCGCCGCTCCGCGCAGCCTCCCCCTCCCGCGGTCGGATGGAAACCCCGGGCGTGATGTCAGCCCTGCGCCCTGGGACCGACCGGCAGCGGGAGGAGGAGCCTGGGCCGGGGGTGGCGGGCAGCGCTGCCGGGCCCCGCACAGCGCGGCGGCGGGGTCGGCGGAGAGCGGGGTGAGATACCGAGCCTCTGTGGTAGCTCTCGCCCGTCAGCCCCAGCCCCGTCTCTCCCTCCCTGCCTCTCAGCCTGGCACAGGGAAGGGCTCCCATGGCGGTGTGCGGGCGCAGGGCGCGGCCCGAGGGGCGCCATGGCCCGAGCGCAGCCCGGCGCGGTTCCGCGCTGCGCGGCGCGGGGGCTCGTCTGGGGTTTGTCGGTGTGAAATCACAGCCCGGCGACAAACGGGGCCGCGTTTCTCAGCCCAACGACGCTGTTAAAAGTGGTACCGGCACATATTCACGAATGCTTGGGCTGTGCCCTGAATAGGGGCTGGACTTGCTCCTTGAATCCAAGGAGCTACGCCCGGATCTACACCTCTGCCTTGCAAAGTGATCATCGTTGGTCCGATGAGATTCACGGTAGTTATGAGAAAAACACCCCAAGACACAAAAAAAGTCGCTTAAGTTGCATGCCAAAAAACTCCCAGAGAGGCAAAGGAAAGTAGCAGCTGAATGAGGGCGTGCTGTAAACAACAGCACCGCCTTGGAAAGAAGCAGCAGCTTACCTGCCCCTCTGCCAGGCGCAGGCACACCCGGTCATAAGGCTCTGTCGCTGCAAGAGGATTATGGGGACATTACTGCCTGACGTCTGGCACCAGACCTTTGAACACCCTGCAAGGGTGCAAGGGGTCAGATCACCAGGAAAACACAGTTTTCTCATCAACAAAGGGAAGCTTGAAAGAAGCCAGTCACCGTGTGGGTACATGAGAGGAAGGTGGTCACAGCAGCTGTCAAATCAGTTCAAGCTTGAAGAGTTGTGTTGGCCAGGACCCAACATCAGAGCCACAGTCCGTCAGCTGGAGACCTCTTGGACCTATAGCTTACCTCATGGCTGCTCTTCCAGGGTGAGCAGTGCTCAGTGAAGTGTGGACAGCTGATGTACCCACCACCCTTCAGCTGAGTTGCTGGAGTTTCCTGGAGCCTACCAAGGAGCCTTCAGCCCACCTGGCACAGTGTGATGTTGGCTGTTACACACTGAGGCACTGCAGAGGCCAGATGAGGCATACACATGAGCGCAGCTCTCAAGCACTACGTAGGAAATGACCACAAAATCTCAGTGGGGGATGTCAGAGAAAAATAGTTACCCCTAGAGTTAAAAAAATACATTAGGAATTTGTCAGACAAGAAAACTGCTTCAAAAGTTACAAGAAGGGTATAATTACGCTATGTTTCTTACTGAAGCATTAAAGTTTACCCAAATCAGCTTGAACAAGAATATTTTGTGATAGATGAGCTCTGCAACAGCAACAGGCTGAAGTTTAAAATCAAGAATCTCAAAATGAAACTAACTGTTTTAAATTAAGGTAATTAATAACAAAATAATTTGCCTAACCCCTTTCCATGGGCAGGCAGTGTTCATCCATTCCCAGGAGAGCAGGGCCCCTTCACGTGTAATGGTGATTTGGTAAAACAAATATTATCACTCCAGATGTCTCCCCAGCCTCCTCCCTCCAGCTTTATGTAGTGAGAGCATGATGCTGTGTGGTCTGGAATATCCCTGTGGTCAGCTGGGATCAGCTGTCCAGGCTGTGTCTTCTTTCAACTCCTTGTGCACCTCCAGTCTGCTCACTGGTGGTGTGGGGTGAGGAGCAGAAAAAGCCTTGACTCTCTGTAAACCCTGTTCAGCAGTAACTAAAACATGCTTGTGTTATCACGACTGCAGCACAAATCCAAAACATAGCCCCATTCCAGCTTCTGTGAAGAAGATTAATTTTATCCCAGCCCAAACCAGCACATCTACATGTTTAGTTATGTTTTACTCAGTAGCCTTCTCGGCTTCTTCAGTCTCCTTCAGCTGGATTCCTTTGGTAGAGTTTCTCTGCCTTGAAAATCTCTTTTGAAGATGTGGTTTCACAGTAGGTTAAACAACTGGAGTTAGAACTGCTGTGATTTCATCCTTGTCTGCCATATGAGCCAAAAACTAGCCCCACTCAAAACCCATTGCTTTCTGGTCCTTTAACTTTCCAAACTGGGTCACCATGCAGCTGCACATGCAGGCAGTAATTACTTACGGTGGTTAAAAATTGACACAACAGTATCTGGAGATTTTTCTCTAAATCTGTGTGAGAGAAGAACTTTTTTATCACATCAGAACTTCTTCATATTGCATTTTTAACCAATTCCTTTTTTCCCAGATGGCATAGTAAGGTATGGATGACATTCCTATCTTAGCAGCATTTTACACCTTATTACATAAGTAATACTGACTTCCGTTACACACAGCCTTCAGTCTGCATCAAGAGAGAAATGTAACACAACATTTTAAGGACAGAGGGATAAAGCTTTTTGTTATTACAGAAAGCTACCACCCATGGGAATAAGCTGTCTTCTTCTGAAACTGTTATTAGAAGTTTCTGTACCTCACCAGGATGTGGGTGAGAATATTTATTGTGCCCAAAGTGTCACTGATTTACCCCACATCTAACTCCACAGCTGTTCATGCGTTGGATTTTTGCTTGTAGACAAAACATAATCAATACATTGTCCAAGATAGGTGCACTGTTTTGCAATTAGCATAATCCATTTCAATGTCTGTGTTTTCAGACTACTTACCCTAATGTATCTTTTGGGTTGTGGTGGTCGTTGATGTTTATCATAGCATTTTATATTTATAAACAAACACAGTATGTTTAAGAAAAGTCTCTGTGTTAAGAAAAGTTCTGTTCTTAACATTTAGAAATTCTTCTGGACAAATAAGCTTTTTCATTTATTAAGTAGGGAAGGCTTAAGTACTGGATCTAGCAGTCTTTAGTGAGGCAAGATGGATATGAGAAATATCCTTAAGTTTTAAGTACTTAATAACTTAAGTTATTAACTGGGTTTTTTTGCTTTTTTTTCTCTTCTTTCTGAACAACTCCCTCAGCATACTTTGATTTTTGTCCTTCTACCCTTCAGTTAGTTCTAAAACGTGTGCCAGAGAGCTCAAAGACAACAGCTTGAGATACAATACACTAAGAAATATTTTCTTTCTCTTCAGTAGATGTTATATGCAGCAGGCACAGCCTAGTTTGCTTCTTTTCATTAATTTTGTACCCCTACTGTTATTCTATTTAACTTTACAGTTTCTCTTCTACTAAAAAAAAAAAAAACAATTTATGTAAGCCATTATCGTGTGACTTAAATACTACATCTTTCTTCACTTCTTTACCTGTTATAGCTCACTCTTTTTTTTTTTTTTTTTTTTTTTTACCATGCTCAGAATCCCTTCCTCACTTGGGCCCCACCAGCCAGCAAGCTGAACAACGTTAAAGGTTATGGAGAATTAGAAGAAAACAAAGGTGACAAAAATTACTTATTTTATAGAATTAGCTAAAAGAAAAATAAATGGATTCTAGGAGGAAAAAGCTAGTCTAAACTTTTTGTCAGTTTAGCCTGTGGGCCATTTTCAGACTACCCTTGTTAGAAATGAGTTTAGGTTAATCTGCTACTTGCTTAGGTCTTGTTTACACATACAGCTGATCAGGAGTTGTTATTTCAAAACAATTTTGTGTAAGATACAAAGTCTGGTTAAATTTTAATTTCATTAATCTGTCAATGCTTAAAATGCAGGTAGATTTGTTAAATACAGTGCATAGAAACTGAAATTATGGAAGAAAAAAATTAACTGGTGACTAGTTTAAATAAATTAGCTAAGTTTGACCAAGTAAGTAAGGATTTTTTTCATAATTTAATTATAAATTCTTAAATTATTTGTGCAATTCCTTTAAAAATATGTCAGTACATCATCTTCAATTAATTGATTTTCAGGTTAAAAAAACAGCTTCAACTGGTACAAGTGTATGCATAAAATTTCTTAACTACATGAGTTTAATTAAAGTGAACAGCAACTGGTAACTGAACAAGAATGGTTCAAGGCTTTACTTACGCCTGATCTATACTACTATCAGGTAAAGTTTGAACAGATTGCTGCCTTGTCTGAACAGAGTATCTGTTCATGATTAGAACATTTGAACAGGAACAGTTCAAATGATCAGTGCAGCATTGGCTGAATATTTTGCTGAGAAGATCAGAGTAATAGTTTAAACAGTGGCATTTAAATGGTTATAGTGAGACTTTAAAGTTAGCATCTATCAGGACAGCTAAGAAACTTTCACACTTTTCTTTAAACTGTTGTTTTGTAAGGTCTGTCTAAATTACCATTGATTTTTTTGGAGGCATTAATTCTCCAAAAAGCAGCTGCTGGGTGTAGACTTTGCCTGCTTTATATGCACAGTATCTATTAATGTTTTCTTCTCAATGTTTAGCTAACAAAAGTCTAAACAGAGTTTGAAGTAAACTTTTTTTTTCTGCTGCTTAGGTGATAACTTTGGTATTTTTAATGTAAAGATAAACCTGTGACTATTTTTTTTTACAGTAAACTGCTTTAGACTATGTTCGGGAGTAGGAGACAAATTATTTACTGGAGACTTACTTAATCATGGTAAGCACTTAAATGTTTGTGTATAAAAATTTTGATTATAGTGTTTAGAGTTACAGTAATGATTCTTCAAGTCACGAGTAGTCTTTGTATAAAGAATTGTCGTATGCTAGTTTTGAATGTGTCTGTTTTCTTGTTATCATACTATTTTTATAGCCTTTTTATTTCAAGTCAGAATGGTCAAAGTAATTCTTTCAGAGAATTTCAAAACTAAATATGAGACTTTTTTATTGAGAAGAAATGCTTGTTACGCAGTCAATTCTAGATTTTTCTTACGTTTAGCTGGGGTTTGGATTCTGATAATGAAAGAAGTAGACTGTTTTTTCTTAGTTGCCTTTATTATCTTCATTGTTTGGTGATATCACCAGCCTTTAGTTTTGGTGTGTCTGGAAGAGAAAGACGTTTTCTGATATGAATGGAATGTGGGTAGTCTTGGTTTGTTATAGCATATTGGATGGCTTTGGTTTGTTATTAATATATTTATTTTTGGCCTCTGCTTTCAGTTCTCCCCACTTCTGTTTTCAACAGCCTCAGGTTGTTTTGCTCATGGATGTGCAATTACAGCTGTTGCTGTAATTAATGAAAGTTGTAGCCTTAGTCCACGTCCATATGAGTAACTTGGTTGTTTTAGGTCTTTGGGTGGTTTGCTTTTGTTACTGTTTTGTTGTGGTTGTTTGTTTTGGGGTGTGGTTGTTTGGGCTTGTTGGTTTTTTTTGGGGGGGGCTGGCAGGGGAAACATTCAGTGAGTAAACATGCTTAGTACATTGAAAAGGCCAGAACAGACCAGAGACAGGTTTCCTGCTACTTTTATTTGGGGTCTAGTAAAGCCTTGTTTGTTGGTGATGGTAGAAGTTGTTAGCTGTTCTAACAATGACCTCTACGAAACCATTGCTGAGCAATACCACCATCTTCAATCTATATTTCCACTTGCTACCATTTTTCGTTTAGAACAGGTTGTGTTTTCTTACAATGTTTATTTAGTGCTTCGGTTAGCTGGAAGTGTGTATGTGTTCAGCTGCAGTGTCCAAGACTGCATACATCGTACTTTGATTCTTGCCATTCACTTTGAAAATCTTATTTCAAAAGAGCACTTTGGTTTTAAAACTATTTGGTTTTTAAATTAAAAACAGAACTGCCTATTTTTTAGAAAAGAAAACATGATGACATGAGTAGAGCCAGTCATAAGCACACTGGGTAGTAGATATGGGGTTTTTGTTTGTTTACAGAATGAGACTAGTTATCTTGTTGCAGGTTCATACCATGCTGTATCTGACAATTTACAAGTACTTGAAAGAAAAAAGACAAGTAAGTGTTCCAGGAACAGCTAGCTAAGATGTTTATTTCTGCACACTTGTGTTCCATATAACAACATCTCAATCTTTGTTTCTTAATCTTTCTCACTCCTCAAGTTCCTTTTCATGTCTACTAACTGTGCTATGTGCATCAGGGTAAGAGAGGGAAAAGGCAGGGGAAGGCTGACTTGGCTTTGTTGAATAGCGGGGCATTCATTTAGACCTTAGTTTATAACCACGCACTTGGTACTTTCAAAGTCCCAACACTTTTGATAGATTGGGTTGAACTTACAAGCTGATTTCAAAAGTTACTGCAGAAGAAGATAATGAATAAAAAAGTAAATAGAGTCAATGCAACCACATGTGTGTTTTTCATTAGGAAGCTCTAGTAGAAGAGTGTCAGTAATGTGTGCGAAAGAAAGTAACCAGTCTTGTAAAGACACTCTCTAATGTCTCCTTGCAAAATACTTCTAAAAATCTATGTTTAAAGTTACTTAAAACATCCCTTCAACAATCAAAATGTCAGCTCCTACTTAAGACATCAGAATTCTGTTTTAGAGAGCTGTTATAATACCATTTCTAGGGCAGACTGCCTTTTTTTCAGGATTTGCAACAATATTATTGTACAAGTCTTGTTCAACCGGCACCTTTCTTGCTTCCCTGGTTTTCTCGCGGTGTATCATGTACTTCTAGTGGTCTCATTCCTCATCAGTCTTCCAAAATTTAGCTGTTTGGCAGCTGGCCTGGTTTGTATGGCGTTGGCCAGATCCGCGTGGTAGGTGGAGTGCAACAGCAAAATGCATTGTACTGGGCAGCTGTCATGAAATATGCACCTTTGCTTAATGAACTCCTTCCATGAAGTGTTTTCTGTGCTGCAGGCCCTTCCTGTCACCGTGTATTACTTAGAACCTATTTTTCATTTGATAAGCACTGTCACGTGGCCTTATGCATAAAATGCCCATTATTGGTAACATGTCACTGCAACCTTAGATTTTGTAATTCACTGGAAGTTAAGAAGCATAAAATGAATTTAACTATATGCTACTTATATAACACTATATTTACACCTGGAATTGTTGTTTGCACAGCTATTTCAGTCACAAGCTTCTCCTACTTATATTCCAACTTGACATAGCTTACTACAAGCATTTACAAGGCAGATATTTGGAGCTTCCTCTCTGCTACAGGAATGCCAGTCTTAGGTGTCAATTTTAGTAAACTAATATATTTTACTCTAACATCATAATTATACTGGTCAAAACCGTAAACACTGTGCCTCTTGCGTGCTTGAGTAATGCAATTCTCTCACTAGAGCAAATAAAATCGTGTACTGTGCTACACTTGGTCCAAGTGTATGACTGCTTTTTTCTTCTTAGGTATAGTAGTATAAATGGTAGGTTATACTAATGACTAGTCTTTCAGTACTTCAGTACTTTTAGGTGTAAATAAGTTTATAAAAAGTAACTGAGTGTTTTCAGTGTTTGAGTTAGTATAGACTAGGTCTAAGGACTGTTAAGAGTGTGCAGAAGTCAGCTCAAAGCTAAGGTTTGTTCCTTAACCCTATTGCTGATGGGAAAAACAGACTAAAGAAATTGAAGAAATCATATGTGAAGTGTTTGTTCCAGTTACTAAATGGAGGATAAACAGTTCTGTCTGAAAGAGGAACCATTCTTCTGTACCTAACCACATAACATACAAACCATATAGAAGTCTGCTGAGAAGGCCTGCACTATATGGCTGTGTAAAACGGTGAGAATGGGATGTTTGATGTAGAGAGTGGTGGAAAGCAGTGATTTTGAAGTTGGGAAGAGTTGCAAAAATGTGAAATATATTCATTCCTTTGAAGCGTTTATCCTATCACTAAGAATGGAATCCTCAAAATTCTCCTGCAAGGCACAATAAATGAGAATTAAAATGATACAATAGCAGCAGGAGAAAAAAGGCTACAAAACGTTAAGTGCAGGAATTTTAAAGCAAGGTTACAAAACGTTAATTGCAGGACTTTTAAAGCAAGACACTAAAGACAGAACATGTGACGCGGCTTTGGAAAACGGGGAAAGGAGCGAACCAGCGTCAGGGGTTCTTGCGCTAACCTCCAAGGAGATGGTCTCCGCTTAGGGCAGCCGGCGGCAGTTAGTCTCGAGGAGTGCGAGACAACAGAGCACACTAGTGCGAGCCAGGCAGGAGTAGCGCAGCGCTGCTAAGAGTCCCGAGCCAAGGAAACACGAGACTAAGATGTTGTTCAAAGCAGTGATCAGGGCTGATCCAGTTTATTTAAGGGGGTTCAGAGTTTATATAGGGTCAGTTGGGGTAGGTTCTGGAAACTGGGCAGAGGGAAGGAGGAGCATGCAAATCCTCCTACAAACATTGGGTAGGGGAAATGAATGTGGATAAAGAGGGTGGTAACTGGGAGGTAACAATCAGGCTTTCCTGCCAACAGGGCGGGGGGAGCCTGCCAAACCCTTCGATTGGTCAGTACCCCAGGGTATCTGGCCAATACAGGAATTGTTGTTGTACCTGCCAAGGCAGGCACCGAGTCCTTATGGGAAGAAGATGAGTAAAGTAAAATGGAGTCCAACCTAAGATTAGGTTTTCTTCCCAAACCTAAAACACACAGTAAATCAGTCCATCATGTAGTAAGCGATTTGGTCGATGTCTCTTCCTCGCCAGCACCTTTCACTGTGCATGCCTTCCATTCTGCAAAGGATTTCTCCACTGTCTCGGTGTTTCCCTGGTCCACAACACATGCCTTCCACATTTCATAGGTGTTCTCTTTCTCCCTACTCCCAACAAACATGTGTCTGTCTTTTTTTCAGGACACTAGTTATGTAATCCAATTATTACTAATGTAAATAAAAGAATAGGAGCCCCTGGTGGTCTAGGGGTAAAGGCGCCGCGCTATCACCGCGGAGACCCGGGTTCGATTCCCGGTCAGGGCCACTCCCGGGCAGGTGGAGCTCGTTAGCCCTTAAAGGCAACCCACCTACGTCCTAAGGACCTCGCTGCCACTGTCCAAGCTCACTTGGCCCCGGCAGATGAACCTTAGGATTAAAGGGTGGGCTCAGTTCCGCGCACACTGTGTCTCACCTAAAAAATCCAATGCGCAGGCTGGAAGGTGTAAAGACCTTCCCCGGATCTTCGCTCGCGAAGACTGGCCATTATTATTAAATAAAAGAATGGCAATGGGACCTTCTTGAATTTTTGAGGCCATGTCTGAGACAGTTCATAAATGTATTACAATGCAAATCCCTGTCTTCAGGTCTTACCAACAAAATGGTATAAAAGTTCAGTTTGAAATTATTGATATTAATTTTCCTACCAAAAGATTAGAAGTTAGAGACTGTAGAGCTGAGAACTCACTATAGTAGGAAGAAACACTTAGAGACAGGAACCTGTTAACTGAGGTAAAAGAGAGCTAAGTCAACCCTAAAACTCAAAGAAATACAGGAGAGATACTTCTGCTGTCAGACTATAATTTAAGACTCCATTAAGACTTACAAGGCAAGGAAATAAGAAGAGACAGTTTACATAATTTGCTCTATGTGTGGGTAGGAGCAGAAAAGATAAAGTTCTGTGAGTTCATGGTAAGTGTGAAATGTAGAGGCAATTTGACTCACAGAGGTTCATAAGCTTCCTTAGAAGGTGACATGAGTAAGGAGAAATTGTAATGTGAATTTTAAAGTTTTCTCTTTTGTTTGTTTGTTTCTGCTACAGTCTGTGATTTTAAGTGAACAAGTTATTTTTGTCCTTATAACTTGTCTGTTAATGAAATTGGATCCTTTTATCTGACTCTTCTGTTTCTTCATAGTGAAAAATTCCACTGCATGTGGTGCGTTGGCCTTGGCTGCCTGCTGGATACCCACGGAGCTGCTTTCTCACTCTGTAACATCAACAGGATGGGGAGAAATCATGGGTCAAGATAAAGACAGAGAGAACTTACTAAGTAAGTAATACTTAGTACCATCACAAGAGGAACAGACTGGCCTTGGGAAAAAAAAAATAATTAAAATAGAGTTAGATGGGGAGAAACAAAGACAAAATATCGATACTGCCTTCTGTTCAGCCTCCTCCTTTTTCTCAGGCTCAACTTCACTCCTTCAATCCTGACTCCTCTAGCTCCTCTTCCTGAGTGGCAGAGGGGTATGGAAAATGAGAGCTGGGATCAATCTGTAACAGCTCCTCTCTGCCACTTTTTCATTCTCACACTCTTCGTGTACTCTCAGGGTGGCACCTTGCCTTGGGATACAGTCCTTTGCAAACTGCTCTAACGTAGGTTTTCCCTGGGCCACAGTTCCTTCAAGATAAACCTGCTCCAGCATGGGCTTCAAGGGAATCACTGCTTCAGTGCCTAGGGTACCTCATACCCTCCTTCACTGACCTTTGCGTCTGCAGAGCTGTTTCACATTTTTCTCACTTCTCTCTCTCAACTTTTGTGCAGCATTTTTTACCATTTCTTAAATAAATTGTCCAAGAGGTGCCACCACTTTGGCAGCAGGGCTCAATGTGTCCATTGGAGCTGGCTGGAACCACCCAGGGCAGCCCTGGCTGCTCCTCACAAAGGTTGTCCTTGCAGTCCAACCCCAGCAACCAAAATGTTACCTTGTAGACCCAATGCAATAAGATACCAGGTCACTGTCACAGTAACAAGGGCTCCAGTATCTCCAAAAAGTTTTTATACCCTCACTGAGCTGCTCAGTTTAATTGAGAGCTGGTACCCCATAATACTGAGTATAAGAATTTTTTTCTGGTGGCTGACTGTAGCTGGATACATATCCAGATAACAGTGGCATTTCTGAGCCTTAGAGGGAGTGTGTAGTATTTGTGCTGGGACTGGATAGTCATTCTCAGCACCACTTGGGAGGCACAACTCCGGACTCATCTTTGTCCCATGGAGGGCCATGAATTACGCGTGCACCAAGTTACGCAAAAGAGATTTAGCAATTTTCCTTTTGATGGCTCTGACAAAGTCATTTGCTGAGATGCTTCTCCATTTCCTGAGGAAGTCCTAGTAAATTGCTAGCTGTGTGGCAAGACTCAGAGGGATCTGATGACTGGAAATAAGAGCACTGTATTGCATTGCAGGAAGTTGTGTTCTTACATCCTTATATATATGTGTAAAACACAAAAAGCCTTGTAGCAGCAGAAAGCAGGAGGTATGGAGCTGACAGAGAGCACAAGCTGTGCCTTGCCTGCCTTTCTGTCACAGGAGGCTGGGAACAGCTGGCCCCTCCACAGCTAACAGAATTTCTTGTCCTTCTTCAAGACATACAAGATCTGGAGGGACTAGCAAAAGTGTTCAACCTGTTTCAAACCTGAAAAAAAGTCAGTGTTTGAAATTTAAATCAATCTCCCTAGAGGGATCCAGTAAGGAGCTGGGAAACTGTGTATTGTTTTATACATCTGTATGTCTGTAAGGCTGGATGTGTGCTTGCTTTTAGCCTGATATTGAAGACAGCAACATAAGAAAACCTGTGTGTTGGGATAGTGGCAGATCAGATCCCAGACATTTCAAACTCTGCATGCAGAACTACAGGACATCTTGTCTAACTTTCTGCAGTGTGGCTCTTCAGGTGCAGAGTGGAAGTGAAAGCACTGGTATAACTCTGTGAGATTTCATCAAACTTAGTAAATTACTATGAAACAGGAAGATGCAATAATATTGTTTGTTAAAGAAAAGCATCACAGTGAATGAATACTTTCATGTTCATGGTGGGATTGCATTTGGCCATTCCATGTTTCTAAATTGAGAACATCCAATGATATGGATACGAACATTCCTCTGCATACTGGGCAAAGCAGCAGTGTCATATCATTTCAATATATGACTGTCTTTAAGAGGCCCATAGTCATTTAAAGAAACGGACAACTTAAAATTCAGAAAGTGTCCAGTCAAGTATGTATGGACAGTCTTAATCCAATCTTTTAGTTGGAAATACGTATAGAAGTACAAAAATTAGAAATCCTACTGCAAAAATACACATACATTTTTTGGGAATATCCATTAAAAAGGAAGAAAATCCCAAACCCAAAAACTTTACTATTGATGTAACTGTTGAGTTTTTTTTTCATTGAAGACATGAGGAATAAAATACCAAATCAGTAAATCGTGCCAGCTGTCTTTATTTAAATAAACCTTTATTGCTCTATTGGTAAGTCCTCCTGGTCAGTCTGTGGGATCCTGATGATTCTAACTATTATTGCAAATGTAATAAAAGTGTTCACATTAAATGATACGCTTCAATTCAGCTTGTCACACAAAATGCTTCTTTAATTTTATTTTTGTTATTGATTGAAGATACTTTCATACATCAGAGCTCCTATCACATCTTTCTATAAAGACATATAATAATTATATTAAAATAATTAAATACAGATAAATAAAATACAGACATTCTGCTCTCCCCTCCTTTTCAGTGTCAAAATTTAAATAAAAAAGTAAATTCAATTATTGAATTTGGAGTAGACTAGGTACTGAGTTTTAGCTGAAGAAAAGAAAAAGTAAGTTTTAGATCAGGATAAAATGGCAATTTCTATTTTAAAAGTCCAGGAAATGTAAGTCTAACAGTACTTTTAACTTTGACTTTGCAGTGAATACCATACAGGAAAATATTTTCACAACATTAAATGTCATGGTAGTGTAGAACAGGAATGAATTTATTTTGATTTCATATGGTTTACCAAGTAGTTTGATAAATCATTTAAAATATATGCTGACATTAAGGAACTACATGCATAATCAAAGGGAGAAAGCTATTTACTTATGCTGTGTGTTACTACATTTTATTCCTGAGCTCCAAAAACTAGAGAAATGTAAAGACTAGTGGCAAGGACAGAGTGCTCCAAAACATGAAGAGAATATATGTATATGCCTTGCTTTGGTGCACTCTGTTGCCGTGAAAAAATTCCAGAGTTGCATTTATGAGTGAGAAGATAAATAAGAAAGTGATTGTGAATTGCTTGAGATCACACAGCTGCATGAGACAGATCTGGCAATTAAGGAAAGTTTGCCTGGATACAGGAATAGTGATGGATTATGCTTGATAAGATACCTTCAAAATCATGTGATTGAGGATGTCTCATATGGATTTTTAAAATAGTGTTTATTTCAAAACTGCTTGGTTTTGTTTGTTTGTTTGTTTTTTAAAGAAGTATATCACAGTCATGAGATAAGTCAAACCTGAAGAAAGTTGCTTGGGGCTCACGACTCTAAAACATGAATTCTCCTGTTAAAAAAATAGTGTAAAGCAAACCAAGGAATTTATTACAGCCTGACTAGGAATACTGGGAGGATTGACTCAGGAGTGTGGGACAGGCTGTAGGTCAAGCAAGAGTGAACACTTTATTAAGATGGCTCCCCTTTATATAGGGGAAGCAGTGAATTTGCTAGAACAGTGGGTGTGGATATAACAAATATGGAAAGGGAAGGAGGGAGTTTGCCCAAACTAAGAAAATATGGGAGGAGTTACAACTTAACGTGAGTAAAGAGGGAAGGGTTACAACCATATAGGGAACCAACCAATGAGCAACCAGGGATAAAAAGGAGTAAACAATTTAAGGGAACTTTTACAAAAATTATGGGGTGTAATAAATAAAGTCTGTTTTAACAGTAATTCAGAACTCTATCAGTAAAGTCCATTGTCTCTAAAGGTGTTCTGTGTCTCCAAAAGTGTTCTGTGGCTAAAAACAGCATCTTAATCTTCAGTTGACTTGTTTGTATTTTTAAAATTTTTTTGAAAATCAGCACTTAAAAAAAAGGCTTAGGGGCCCCTGTACAACTCGTAAATGAGAGTAACAGTATATCTGTCTCTACCTTTGGTAGAGAAGCCTGGATTATAATACAGATACGTTGCTTCCTTCAATACACATTAATTCTTTCACATCTTTACAGGATCTAGGATTCTGAAGTAATGGTATCATACAGAAAAATGCATTGTGGAATTTTGCTTACAAATGATTGTATTAATTCTGGTTCTCCTGTATATTTACAAAGCATATCTTCGCCAAAAATGATACAGAATAAGGTGTAGTTTCTTCCTTTTGTTAGAATGTAACTTTGGGAATCAGCTGCCTGAGGACAAAAAAGTTTAAGGAAGGAAGAAGTAAGAGTAATCAGAAAAGGTAGTAAATCCATTGTTTGGGTCCTCAGTTGACATTTAAAATACCAGTTTTACTCTTTGTTCTCTGATTCAGAAGTGGGATTTACACGTGTTTTCTTTGTGTGGGAACCTAGACAATAAATTTAGAAGCAGTCATCAATCATTCAGCTAGAATGTAAGATATGTCACTGGATTTTTTTTCCATTATAAAGTTAAAAACAGTGATAGCGAAAGGTCTTATTTATGGTGAAACAAAACATCCAATACTGGTAGCTTGTGGGAAAAAAATCTTAGAGCAATGGTATTACCTAAAATCTCTAAAATAAATCAAATTTCAGTCAAAAGTTTACCTTAAAATTCTTCTTTGCTGCTATAACTGAAGTTTAAGGCCTTATAAAATTGCTGCTGGACTTAACCATACTGAATTTGTTAGTCAACATTTTTTCTTTTAGTAGAATAAAAAATGGGAAAAAATTTTTTTCTGTATAATTATTTTATTTCTTTCAAGGAGATGTGAAAAGGCTGCATACTACTTTGACCTAAAAAGTAAATTCATCTTCTGTCCCGATCCTCACATTCCCATCTCCTGGTATGGAAACTCTTCAAGATAATCCACAGACTGAATTAAAGAGGTGCTTCTTGCTTTTTGGATAAAGAAGTAGTTATGGATTGAGATAAGGATAGTTTAGTAATGAAAAAGAGAGAGAAAAAGCAGCAAGTGATGCTCAGGCAGTGACTTCCCATCTCCAGCCAGCACATGAATGCCTACCTTGTGTCAGAGTATTGGCTACTTTGGAAAAACTGCACATCCAGTTTTGGCTGCTGAGCATG